TTGTTCTACTTGTTGTAAACTTCATTTTGGTACCAATTTCATGAAATTGGGTTGAAAAACGAGTGAGAAACGAAGGTTTGAAATTTTTCATATTTTCCGGGGATGGCGACAGCACCGAAGATGTGCCGGAGAAGAAGACGGAATATTCCGTCATTTTGGACAGAATATTCTTAACGGCGTCAGGTTAACTTTAACGGAATCTGTTAGTTTTAACGGAATATTCCTGACGGCGTTAATTGACGCCGTCAGTGTGCCTGGCACGTGGCCACGCGTGAGGGGTGCGTCTGGCCGTGCCTTGGCCGGCGCATGGGGGCGCGTGAGACGTCGAAAAATTATTTTAAAAATATGGAGATGTTCGTGAGGTTGAGTAGATCACGTTGGTTTATTCACACATCCCATTTGAGCATTGTACAAGAAGTTATTACCTAGTTTTGGTTATGTGCTTTAAATTGATGTTTTTATAGTTGTTTTGCATATAAGTGAGACCTATCTCGTGGACGAGCGCAGTCACTCAAGGTAGGGGGGCTACGACCCTTCCACTTACTAGTGAGTGGTGATGCGAGAATTATATGCACACAAATTAAACCCTGTTTTTATCAATTGTAGTAAGTATGTAAGTAGGGATCGTTCTGGACCGGGGATTAGGAGGGATTGTTAATCACTTGGATTTGACTCAAAAACGTAAAAACAAGTTTAAAACACTATACTAAACTCGAAGAATGCAAAACTAAAAATAAGAAAGATTAAGACTAAGACTTAAACAAAATATGGGGGGAGGGGGGGGATTTAGGTTTGGACGAGATTAAACTAAAATGGATAGATTGCAAAGAAAACAAATTGTAAATATGAATTTGACGGAAATGAATGGATGGGAAGCTAGCTAAGGGGTTCATCTCCACACATGTTATACTTGCATACAAAATGATTTCTAATTGCTTTTCAATAAACCATGAATTCTCAACACCCCGGGTTAATTAGGTCCGTTTAAATTAACCGTCAAGTTTTCCTTAAGTTAATGAATTGGATGATTGCATACGACAACCCAAAGCATTCCCCACAAGTTCCCTACATGAATTGCATAATAGAGATACAAGCAAGAATCATTAAGTTCTTTGAAAACCATAAGTGTTGACGAGGCATTCGTTACTACGATTGCATGAAACTTATGCCAAGAATTCATTTAACGCGATTGTTTATAAGCAACCTCCACTACTTGTGAATATAAGTTCATAACTATTTGGTGAAACTCACTTATATTCTAGCGTCATATTCATGCATGAAAATTAAGCGTGCACTCTCAATAAACATACATAAATAGGTTATCAATCAAATAGTTAAACAAATTGAATTCACAACTTATGAAACGTAATTAGAAGTAATCAAATCATATTGCAAGCATAGACATATATTTTGAATCCCCCCCTAGCCAGGGGGGGTGTTTAGTTCCTCATACGTACAAGACAAAGAGAATTGAAATTAAACATTGAAATCGAGGAAAAGCAACACCTAAAAATTCCAACAACTCAAACTTGAATTGTATGAACGTTTAGGCACTCTTCTCCTCCTCTTCGTTGTAGCATAAGGTCGAAGGGATGTTGTTGGTTTGGTGGTTGTATATGGAATGGAGTGGGGAGTGGTGGAAATGGAATTGAATGGAGGAGAAGATGGTAAGGGAGAAGGCACGGCTAAGGAATATTTCAGGATGTGTTGTGTATGAAAATGAGGTGTTGTTGAATGGAATGGAAGTGTGGGATGAATTCAATTCCAAATGAATGAAGTGTGTGTGGTTTATATAGGGAGAGAATGGATGGGAGAGCATGTGAATGATAGCTAGGAGAATGATTAAAGGGGTGTTGCTAAGTTGGAAATGCATGTGAAGATGCTAGAATTGGGAGTGAAAGGCACGGCATTGAAGGTGTTTTGTGTTGGAAATGCATGTGAATGCATGTGAGTGCATGTGTGTGTGAATGGTGGTAGCTAGGGTGCATGTGAGTGACAACTAGGTTAGTTGGTGGAAATCTGAAAATGGCATAAGGGATGCACGGCTTTGGGGGAAGTTTTTGATTATTTAAAATGTGGATGCATGATGAAGAGTTAATAAATAATGCATGTAGGGTTAGGAAATAAAATCATAACTTAAAGGGGGGATGATTAAAGGGTGTGGCTAGGTTGGAAAGGTGTGGAAGATGGATGGAATTAGGGGGAATGCACGGCAATGGTAGGGAGTTCTTTGGTGATGGATGCAATGATGAAGAGTGAATAAATAATGCATGTAGGGTTAGCTAGGTTGGCTTTGTTTGGGTGCATGTGAGTTAAAGAGGGAGAATGTGGTGAAATGATGAAGTAGGAAGGTGGAAATGCATGTGAATGCATGTGAGTGCATGTGTGTGTGAATGGGTGTTTCTTGATGGTTTTGGGGTTGTGATGCATGTGAATGCATGTGGCTAAGGCTTGTTGATTGGGCTAAAGGTTTTGCATGGCTCAAAGGATTGTTTGATTGGGCTAGGCCCTTTGTTTTATGTCCAAAGTGCAAACAAGGCTTTCAAATTCGTCCAACACTTTGGCTCCAAAAATATGCTATCCATTCCAAGCCCAATTTTGCTCCAAAATGCATCTTTTTGCTTCCTTAGCCATATGAACCTAAAAACACACGAAAATGGCTTAAACTACTAAAATAACTATGAATTAACAACATAGATGCACGAAAACAAGCTAAGTAAGTCGCCTAAATATGCTCCTATCAAGTGGGCTTTTGGTTTTCCGTATATACCTATATACTTGCGGTTTTTCCCAGAAAATGATATGGAATGTTTATATGTTTTAAATGCCATGCATTGTCTTTGCCTATTTTAATTATGCATTAGTAGTTGCATATACTTATGTTTGGTGCTGCGGACGTACAAGTAAGTGCCAGGTAAGTTGTAGTTTATAGTGTGGCGTAATGGTTATGTGATATACATAGAAAGCTCATAACCTGCACCCCCGGTGTTAGTGCTCCCGCCCAAAGTAAGGCACAGTCCTTCACGTGATGTTCACCTCCCGCACCACACGCCTATCTTAGATCCAAGTTAGGTGCACAGTCCTGTCGTATAGACCACTATAGGTGGTTCCGACTCGTAGGTGACCCGCGATTATTCGCCTAGTCTTCACGTGATCGTAGCACTTGAGCATATTTATTTACACCCAATCCTGTTGTACAGACCACTTTAGGTGGTTCCGACTCGTGTGCAGGTATAGTTAATGAGTTGGAGATTTGAACTCTAGATTCAGCCGTATAGGTCACGTTAGATGACTCCGACTAACATATTACATTGCAGTGATTGACATTACCTGGGTTACTTACAGTTTATGTAGAGGCATTCGACATGGCATATTTCTGAGCATGTTTTCGATATATGTGTATATTCTATTTTCTAGGAAACTTTACAGGTTTTACGACGAGGGGTTAGAACTTTTGATATAGAAATGATTTTGAAAAGCTTTGTTTTTGCCCACTCACACTTTCTGTTTTGCGCCCCTCCAGGTTCTAGTTAGTTTGCTCTTTTGGTGGCTTACGAGGAATCCACAACATATCTGACAGATTATCACCAGTGTAGGACCACCTCTGGGTGTGTTTAGTTAGTGTTGGTTCCTCTGGACTGCACTAGGCTCTCGGTGCTCTAAATATTATTTTTCACACTTACGCTTGCACATGTATGTTAATTGCTTTGTTTTGTAGTTTGGTTTTTATTTATTCGTACTTTTATTATTATCCTTTGCTTCCGCACTGTGCACATGGCTACATCACCCTCACGTGACGGCCAGTACGCCTTGATTTTAGGTCAGGGTATGTCAATAAAAATAGAATTTAAAATAAAATAAAGCAACTATGTGAAATAGAAGTTATAGGAAAAAATGGAATTTACAAAAAAAAAAATGAAACAAATTTTGTAAAATAAAAGTTATAGGAAAAAATAGAATTAAAAAAAAAATATTAAAAATAGAAGTTATAGGAAAAATTTTGTCAATAAAAAATAATAATAAAACTATAAAAAAAAAATTTCAAATGCAACGGCTAGCTAACGTCAGCTAACCGTTGCATTTGAATTTTTTTCTAGCCATCCACGGGCTGGCTGGTTGACTGCTTGCAGCCAGCCCTTCAGCCTTCTAGCCCTCTCCGATTCCATGGGGCCCTCTCAAATTGCAGAGCCCTCTGGCTTAACCCTCGGTTGGAGAGTGTTTTCGGGCTATTTTCGGCCCTCTGGCCCTCTGGACCCTTCGGTTGGAGATGGCCTAACATTTTGAAGTTTACAAAAATGTATTTTGGCAATACAGAACACCCAAACACTTTAAGATGAAGAAAGTTAAGGTTTCACACAAACTAATTGACAATATGAAGAGTGGTCCAATTACCATAAGCACATGCAAGGTCTCGTGTCTCCCCAATGTGGGATTCACTCTCTCAACACGATCCCTTATGTGTGGCAATTTACGTGTAACGTCTTTTCAAGTCTAACAAGTGAACAACACAAATGAAGTGATATGAAACACATGTGGCCATTGAGTTTCATATGCGAGACAACTTACTCAGATACCATGAAGAAAGTTAAAGTTCCACCATAAAATCAATTGATAACATAGAAAGTAACTCAATTACTTATAATATTATTTGATACGTATATTCAAAATCTTCTTGGTGTAATAAAAAATTTGGGAAACAGATACGGAGATAGAAGTGATAGATTGTACAACTTTTGCCATAGGTTTTGAATAATAACTTCAGTAGTGGTCAGTACTGAAAAATATTCATCCCAGCCTTCCGACACCACAGTAATTTACCGGCTTTAACCTCCCACTACTAATATGTTGTGATCAGTACTGAAAAATAAAAGTTTATTGGGAAATTGATTAAAATAAAAGCCCATGGAAAAACTGGCAGCCTCTTACAAGTTTCAGGAGGAGGCAATCAGCAAATAACTCAAAATAAAATGTTGGCAGCAAATACAGTGATTTCAAAAAAAGAAATCTGTCAATCTGGATCACACATTCCAATACGAATCCATTTACATAAATTGTCTATATCGAAGTCCAACATTAACATATCAGACGGTTTAACATGAGCACATTCCCCTCGTGTACATGCATACAACAATGGATGCAAATTATCACCTGACGAACTGTGTCCCGAAGGTGAAACTGGATTGAGATATGGGGAAGAAAACTGACGTTTTCAACACAACTGAGGTGAATAACAATAAAAAAAAAAAAAAAAAAAAAACATCGCTTAGGAAGCTCCATGTGATATCCGGCCTGTGATACTTAACAACTTTAATAGATAAGATCATATGTAAGTCATGAGAAAAAGAGCAGAGTTGATCGAACCCGAGATTGAAGAGATTTGTACGATGTAGCAATTGGTAACAGAGGGCCTAACTGTCATAAAGAATTGGCACAGGAGTTGTCCTTGTCCTTCTGGACATTGTGTGGAACAATCGAATGTAAACAGCCTTTTCTAAGACAGGTTGTTCTGCTTTTGAGCTTTCATTGACTACAATTCGTCATGCTCCATGCTTCCGCTGCCTGTCAAAAGAAAGACGCAGCATGTACTTATGAGACGCTTGAGGTTGGTAATAAACAAGAGAATCGTTTCTTTTTTACTTCAGAACTCAGTTCAGAATTTTGTTTAGCGTAGTGAAACAACACTTTCAAGTTTGTGCTCCAGTTGTTAGATCATTGTCTTCTATGGAAAAATGTTTGTAGGTATGCTGAAATCCAAAACTACCATCAAAATGGAGAAAGATTTTACCTGAAGACTTTTCTTTGAAGAAAAATGAGATCTCTCGTTGAGCTGATAGAAGAGAATCCGACCCATGAACACAGTTTCTTTGTAAATCCTTCCCGCACATTGCTCTTATGCTGGGGAGAAAAAAAAAGGAACTAATCAGGACATCCAGCACGGAAATGGATACACGGTGAAGTTGTACTATGAAATTTAAGAAAGAGTTAACAAGTGTAAAGACGATTAAACAATAACATAAAACACCTGTTGGGATGAGTAATCTTTGCTTTGCTTGCATCAGTTGGGCCAATTAAAGTGCGCCAATCTGCAACAGCGTTTTCCTTCTCCAATACCATAATCAATACTGGTCCACTGTTAAAGTAATGAGTGGGAGGAGGAGAGAGAAGACAACATCGTAATGCAGCAACAACAAAACATCACACTCATAATATTTCGGTCTTCTGATTAAAACAAGGAAATATTTGCTAGAACGGAACTATGTTGTATTGCAAAAGCTAGAATAGGAGGGGTAGGCCTTGCAATAAAGACTTCTCATAATTGAAAACTCGGGAAGAACCTCAACATCCCACAAAACTAGCTCTAATAAGCTTCCGATCATTCTCATACGTATAAATAGCTCATGTGTGAGATGAATTCAGATTGCCATGGTAAGGCACTGAGTGAACAATGATGCCTTCTCTTGATCAGTTATTACGAAGTGAATACGTTGCATATCTATGCTTATACATAAGTTAAGCAGTTTTGTTTGCTACAGTTCATTGGCATGTGTTCACGGGCAATGAATGCATATATGTGTGTTTCGAGTAGATGCCAGCAAAGACAAGAAAGATACATGTTGACATGTAAATTACTATCATAGAGTAAGAAAGATGTGAAAGCGAGACGGAAACATAAACAAAGCAAAACCATCATAGACGTTTAAGTCAATCGGCTATGCATCACAAGAAACAACTGATATGAAGCTTGCGAAGATTAAACATCCAAACATATTGATCTAGCAATTAGCCAAGAAAACTAAGAATAATTTCCATGAGTTCAACAGATACCTTGTCATGTACTTGACTAGGTCAGAAAAGAAGCTCCTCGAAGAATGCTCGGCATAGAAGCTCACTGCAGCGTCCTCGTCAAGTTGGACGAGCCTTTCGTTGAGGATTCTAAAACCAGAATCCGAAATAGCGTTCTTTATCTTATCAGTGTAGTTATCATACAACCCATCTGGCTTTATTATTGCTAATGTCATCTCCTTCTCTGCAGTTGCATCAGACCTATACTTTTACAAAACATTAAATCAAAGACCCGTTAGGAAATACTACTCAAATACATATAGCAAGCAGTTCTACTCACGAGCATTTTTGCTAAAAGTGCTTTTATTAGAAGCATGTCGAAATTTGTATAGAAAACTGAAGTGCTTCCTGGAAAAGCACTTTCAGTGTAATCTCAACCTCCAAACATGGCGTTATTATTAGTAATCAAAAGGGAAACTTGAAAACTTTAGATTCGGGGTTACCTGCAAGGGAGAGACAGAGAGACCACAAAGCCGATCAAGAGAAAGTTAGAGACGAACGAACCCACTCTGGGGAGCATCTTGTGATTGAAACCAGCAGTGGATTCACTGTAATAGCAATCGAATTAGTTGCTGCAAAATGACATAATAAACAGAATCAGATAATCGGCTGTTTGGTTGCCGACAAAAAAATTCAGTGAAGATTGATGCTTTTCGATCTCAGAGGGAGAGAGATTTAATTTTCTCGGCATCCAAACAGAAGGTTGGTATGGACTAGAAAGAAAGGGAAAAGGGTGGGGTGGGGGCGGGAAAGGGAGAAAAAGGGACAAACCAGAAAATTGGGAGGTTTGGAGTTTTGGACCGGCAAATGACAACTATCGAAACACCTTAAACTCTGAACCGGACTTGAAATTATTTGACTCCCAATTACCTTCTCGTTGAGTTTATAGGTTGGAAGTTCGGTCAAACTATGTGGATGTGCGAGTTTTGAAGTTTGACTTATATAGACGACCATTTTAAAATTAAATTATTATAACGTATACATTTTGAAATTTATTTCAAATCATCTGTGTTTAATATAAATATATCATTATATTAAAAAAAAATACACGAATGATTTTGTGTACTTGAACTTTCATCATCATGGAATTCAGGCAATTATCACAACTCCTTTGAAATGGTATTTAAAACGACGATAAAAGATGATTATTGTGAAGTGCTAACAATGCCTTTGAAATGTTTGGTCTGTTGTGTCTTGCATTAAACTAGATAACTCATTAGATTTAATATATCTTGAAGCCAGAAATAAACGTCAGTTTTTAAGAAAGGGATATGTTTAATTCATGATTAATCTTCAAGTTCAACAATATTTGAAAGTCGCCATCCGTTCCTGCTTCAACATGTCTCTGAGTCTAATAAATGCAATCATACACACCAAACGAGGCCTAAAGAAAATACAACACATATGATAGAGAAACTACGATTAGAAGAACAAATTTCATCGTATATTAAAAACACAACAGATGTTATATACAAACATAAGATTCTTCTGCTTTGCTCTTCAATTCCTTGATATACTATATCGTTACATCATCCTGCGAATAGTTCATAGCAACAATTCAGGCACTCAAAGCAGGCAAGGGCAGTGCAGACTTGTGTGAGAACAATTGCGCACTGGTTGTTCATGTGCGAACAAGTCCTAATGAAACACATGCAACAGACGCGGTCGAGTACTCGGCTGCAGCAGTCGGAAGCCGCGTTCACCAACATTTCTGTGGCATCAGCCGGCTTTTCTTCTTCGCTTCCTGGTGCTTTGTTCTGGACCGTTGCAGTCAAGTTACCAAAGCCAAAACCCAGGTTTCCGAGGATTATCACCTTCTGGCTATTCGACTCTGGCTTCTTCCACTGAGTAATTTTGTTGTAGACCTACTTGGAAGTTGGAAGCAATTAGATTACGTCTATTATTTATTGCTAAGCAATAAGGGAACTTCAATGCGAGCGTTAACTGGTTATAAACTCAAAAGCGTCATCCATGAACTCAGTTACTTATTTTGAGATCCATGAACTCAGTTACTTATTTTGAGATTATTAGAGAGAGAATAATGAATTCAAGCTTCATATAATGGCGAGACTCTGGTAGGAGGTGGATTTAGATAGGGTGTAAGGCACTTATATCAAAAAGTCCCATAACTTTATCTTAGAAGGGTAACACGTAATATGCATATCTTCATAGCCTAAACGAATTCATGACAGAACACTTTGTCTGCAGATCACTAACAAGGAACTCAGGAGAACCCTTTATCGACCTAGAAAAGAACAAGGTAGGTATGACTAGCAAACATCATATAAGAAACACGGGAAGAGCTAAAGATGCATACCTCTTGGATCATAACTGATTCCGCTGCTTTCTTCCCCTCATTAGTCAGCAATAGTATCATGCAAGTGTACTCAGATGGAACCCCGGTTTGTTTACTCAATTTAGAAACCTAGAAGCAAAGCAGGTTGAACAATCGTAGTGTATGTCAAAAGAGTACATGAATCCGAACTTCTACCAACAAAATAATTAAGAAAATCGTCGTTTTTCTATATACTCTGAATCATAATTAGCATGAAATTTGACTAAGAAAAACTCGTGAGGGTTATGGTTAGATAAGGTAGAGATAGGGAATCGGTGCAGTTGCAGAAGAGCATCCAGCCAGTCTTGCTTATCTATGATTCAATGACAGAAGGATTCATCAAACTCCAACCAAAAAAAGAAAGAAAAAAAACCTTCTCTTCTAGCTCTTTACTTCCCAATAACCATGCATGAGCTGTAAGCATGTCAATGTGCCTTCTTGCAAGCACCTGTTCCAGAAAAAAGCAGGTAAATGAGTCCATTTCTTTGATTTGAAGAGAAAAGAAGGCATAAGTTCATCAATACCAAAAGTACTTGCAGGGAAGTAAAGAGGGCAGGCAGATCATTGCTTACTCTGATTCTACATAACATTTTCAATTTCTTACCTGATCAAGTGGAATATCCTTAGATCTTTGCACTTTCAAGTCTATAACAAAATTGCTCATATCAGCCAAGGTACCACGAACTTTAACGGAATCGGGAAAGATTCCCTCATATCTGCCTGACATGATCAATGGACTTCCAGATGAAAGGTCTGGGATATGAGATGGATACCGCTGCAAGGAGCAACAGAAAATGTACAACATGCCGCTATGCAGTTAGAAATTGGAATGGAAAAATTGTTAGACGAAAAAGTAGTAATATTTAAAGTCCTCCTAGCAAAATAGACTCTAATATCATTAAACCTCGAGATACAAAATGGGACACAAAATTTCAGCCAAAGGCCCAAGACTAGCATACCTCAAGTGAATCAAGAGAGTCTAAAGCATCCACGGTTATATTGGCAAGAATCACTGACGATGCACTTGTGAATAACCTTTGCATTTTATAGTCAATTGACTCTGCAACGAAAGAATATATTTAAGTATATAATACTATATATTAATAGCTTAATACATGTAGGAAGAGAGAGAGGGAGAGGGAGAGAGAGAGAGAGAGAGAGAGAGAGAGAATTCCTTAGTTTGAGACCATCACACAAGATTAGCATCATTACTAATAAAACACATACTTATCGTATTTTGTATTGACAACTTATTATTTTGGTGAACAATGATGAAATTACAGTTAAAAGAAAGGGGGAAGGAACTGACCTGAATCATAAGCAGCATCATAGCAGCCCTTCCCAATTTGGGCTAGCATTTGCAGGAAGTAATGGTTACAATATAAACCTGTCAAGATATTTCAGGAAAACAAAGTTACAAATTCTAGAAAGGAAGAGTAATACGATCGTCAATATTCTAATAGTCGTCAAACTAAACGATCTTGATCCAAAAAAAAATCCAACAAGTAAAGGAACAATACCCTTACCTATGCCAAGAGTAGATATGCGAGGACAAACTGAACCTGCACTTGCATAACCTTCCATAAAAGTGCAAATCTCCCTCTCATTTTCAACTGCCCCGTCAGTTATGAGAAAGATGAGGGGAAGTGAATCAACCGTCTTGGCCAACAATATCATAGCCTAAAACAAATCAGACCACAGGATACAAAATCAGATGCTCTTCAAAGAGTGTGCATGTTGTTGAAATCGATTAGACAGAAATCATTTCGAAATATGCATGAATGCACAGTGGTAACTAGGAGGACATGTTTAACATTTGGGGTACCTCTCTGAAGGGAAGCAAGATATTTGTACCACCATTCGCAATAAGATTGGCGTCAACCCAGTTCTTAGCTTTTAGCATTGCCTCATTTGTTGCCAACTCCATTGATGATGAGAATAAGTGAACCCCTCCATTGAAGGCTATTATGTTGAAAGTATCTTCTCGGTTGAGATTAGAAAGTGATGCCAACAGTGCATTCTTTGCATTTTCAAGAGGGTCTCCCAGCATGCTTCCACTCATATCAACAATGAATATAACTTGCCTTTTAAAAACCTATAAATTCAGCAATATAAAGTTAGAATTACCATGGCATAAGGCCGTAAAAGTCCGTTTAATAATAAAAAAAATTATTTAGGACATGGAACTGGAAAATTCACCATCTAATGCGAATGATTATCCCATTACAACCTCAATGCAACATTATATAAAATTAGAATGAAATAGGTGTTAGGGCTAAACGAACCCTTCTAATCTGGGTATTCCCGGGCATCAGATAGAAGTAGAACATCTCCCTATCATCAAAATCACGAAGCGTTGGAGATTGCAAGAACACACCACCATACAAGTCATTTGTATGAACCTGTAAATACAGTTTCCATTCAAGATGAAAAAACACATATCATGATCGCTCTGTGACCATCATTTTCCCAAAAAACTTCTCACAAAGTGATGCATATCACAAAATTCATTAATAACACAAGCATTGATTCAAAGCCTTACAGTGTATGAAAAACTAAAGGCCGCATTTGACCATGATTGTACATCTGCTTCATATGAAAAACTCAATCTACCGCTTTGGCGCCTCACTTCCTGCAAAATCAGTAGTCGGTAATCAGTATCACTTCACATACATCCAAGGACTATGTGGAACTTACGAAAATGATTTACCTTAAGAGGGTGGCTGGTACTTTTACATGAAACGTCTATGTCAGTACCGACATTCACATTCAACAAAATCTTTTCCCGCTTTGAAATTTTCCTCCCAACGGGATTGACATATGCCGGAAAACGAAAAGGTACACTGAGGGAGAACTGGCCATCATGATACAACAATTTCTGAGACCATCTGATCTTGAAGGAAAGTAATGAGCCTCCATCAACCTGTGGGACTTTCAAAGTGTATGCCTGGCGTTTCAGAAAGTAACCCTCTTGGCCTACTTTCTCCACATTTCTTGGGTCCTCCGCCGCGATCAGCTGAGTCCGATATGATCTTCCGGCGGCTTCAGCCTCAACACCTAGAAGTGAACCCTGTTAGCCAAATCATGTTTTTTTCTTGAGAATTTAAAAATATAGCCTATAAATCTTCATATTACAAATAATTAGGTACCAAAATATCAAAAAAAAAATATATATATATATATATATATATATATTATTTAAGTCCTTCCATTTCCAATTTCAAGCCTTCAATTAACTTAATTCAGATTAATCACTATTACAAATTTCTTTTCTTTTTTTTACTGAATCCGAAAAAATAAACAAATTACATTAACTTAATCTAGATTAATTAGTAGCACAAATTTCTTCCCTTATTTTTTACTATTTCAAAAAAATATACAAATTTCAAAAGATAAAAAGCTTCCAATGGTCAACATAAGTCAAAAGTCCCACTACCTGCTCGCCCATCGGCACGGCCAAGCGACACTCGCACCTTTTCGCGGCGGAAACACAATGAACGCGCCACGTGCCGCTCACGGTAACAAACGCAGTGTCCAGATAAACCTCGATCTCCATACCTATCTCGTGCATATGCAGAGGTATCAACGCGGGCGGTTGACACAGGCCGTGGACGTACGGCTGGTAGCTCGGAATGTCCGGATTATCGACGATTTCCGGGTCGGAAACCACCGCGTACACCATCGGAGACTCCGGAAAATAAGACTTCGATGACCTCTTCATCTCCGACGGATTGGGGACCGACTCCTTGCCGTAGAAAACCCGCTTGGAGAGGCCGAGGCCGTACTCGACGCAACTGGTGAACTCGGCAGCCATTTCGCAGGAAACTTAGGGTTTTGAGAGCTGGAGAGAGAGGTGGTAAGATGGTTTGGAAGGAGAAGGTGTGAGGTTTGCGAAGGTAAGCTTTCCGCTTTTGGCTTTCGGCTTTCAGCTTTGGGCTTTGGAAGGCAGTAAAAGAGAGAGGGGACGAACAGTCTGGTGGAGGGAAGATTAATTTTTTAATTAATTGTGGGTTTAATGAGTATTTAATGGTGAAAGTGTCAATTAATGTCAGACATGTTTCCGTCAGTGGTGGGTTTCTTCTGTAGCAGAACTTTTCACGACAAAAAGACAAATCGGTGGGGCACAAGTCTTGTACGTTGAGGGATAGATATGGTGTCTCGAGGTAGATGCTGAGATCGTGTGCCCGCTACTGGGACCCTGCCACGTCTGTAAATTCTCTACGGAGAAGCAGCCAAACGACCACTGCAGGGAGATTAAAATTTTAAAATAAATTATATGATATTGTTAATTGAGTTTTGATTAACGAATTGTTTTCCTATTGGACAAATCAGTTAGACTGCAGTTCAAATCATTTTGGTAATGCTAAAAACATTGAGATATCCAAATTTGTTTTTACATGAAAGTAAAAATGTTTATGCGTTACAAATGCACTTTTTTATAGTCCCATATTGTATTATTATAAATTATTTTTTAGTATGTCCTGGTAAAAATTAGGATGGTGCGGAAGCAATTCTCATATACTATTGTTGTGATGTGGTTCAATCAAAAGATGCGAAATGATTGTATTTTAAAGAGAATAACTTGGCATTTGACAAGAATACTAAAGTTGAGTAAGGTGATTATCCAATTAAGAAACCGTTAGATAGAGTCATTAAGCTTCGTTGCCTTAATGGGAAGGGAAGAATGTTTGAATTGGAGTTTAATGTCTTTGTTGGTATAGGTAAGGAGGGGATACCTAGCTTTTGATGTCTTAGTTTCATAGTTTGGGATTTCTTTGCACTCGTTGCCAAAAACATTGATAAACTAAAGATAATTGTTTTACTGTTGTGGCTTAAATTTAACTGAAGGGTAGACAGAGGATGCAGCAGTAGAAAACAGAGAAAAGAGAGATGTAGGAAAGTTCTGTGTGTGTCTTTTCCTCTACTTGGTGCTTTTATTTATAGTAAACTAACATGTTTACTTGCCCTTCAAGTAAAAAAGCCTAAGATATTCTAGGTTACATAAGAATCTTAAATACAATTTATTAGGATTTACGTAATCACACATGTGCTATAATTTTTATTACAACATTTAATAGTTTATATAAAATGAAATATGTGTTTCTAATTAATTGACCAAAATTATTAAAAGTGTATACACCAAACCAATAACATTTTCATTAATCTACTGAAAACAACTAAGAGAATATGATGATGGTTTGTCGGTGGGATTAAGCTAATAATTTCTTTAACCCAACAACTTGACTTCAACTTTGTCAAAAGCTTCTTTTGCAATAGACTAATATATATGATTATTTCTCCCGTTTAATGTGTTTACTCTTAAATCGACACAAAAGAAAATATAAGGACCTATTTGGTATCTTATTTGAAATTTTTTATCATTTCTTAAAATATTTCTTGAAAACAATTTTTTTTAAGACTCCAAATTTTGATTAGTTTGTGATTTAAAATTTTTAAATCTTACGACTTAAACTAGACAAAGAGATCTAAAAAAAGGAGATCGCAGGAGAGGGAGAAAGAGAAGAGAGGAGAAAAGAAAGCAAAAGATGATTGAAGGAAAGAGTAAGAAGGGAGAGGATCAGACAAGATAGAGAGGAAGAGAAGTGAGAGAAAATAGAGAGATTGATTTGGAGTGAGAGGAGAGGAGGGAGAGAAAAGAAATAAGTGAGTTTAAGTTTAAAAACTTTAAAAACTCAATTTTAATGTTTTTAGAGAATAGACTGTATTTTTTAGTTAGTTTTGAGTTCAATTTTTTAAAATAATCCTACCAAACAAGTTTTAAAGGCCTAAAACTTGAAAATTGTTTTTGAGTTTAAAAAGTTGAATTCAATTAGAATACCAAACAGGCCCTAAGATTTTAAAATTCATAATGCTAGAATATGATTATGATAACATGGTTTTCACAATATGTGTAGTCATGCACTTTCCATTCCCTTGTGTCATGATGGTTTGCGGGCCGTTCACGAGCTCTGACACCAAACATTCAATTCAGTAAGCAATAAAGAAGTTCATAGAATGAAGGGGATTCTTCATCTTGTTTTACTAGTTCTTATGTTGTGGTTTAAGGAGACAAAAACTTTTCTTTTCTCATTGATTTGTTACTAAGTGAACTGATGGCAGCAGCATGAGTTATACCTCTCTCTTAAACTAAGCCCTGATTCACAACCCTAAGTGAAGGGACAATAGCGGACTTCGCCCCATGAAGTAGTTCATTTTCTTGCATTCCTAAGTATCTGAACAACTCCTCTTTCTTCAATTGTGAAGCAAATTCTAAGTCATCCTAAACTTGGAGAAGCATTCTCAGGGGGAAGGACATTCTAAAGATGGGAAGTCAATGGGTAATTTGGAATGGGCAAAGAGAAAAATTCTGGCTTGACTGGTGGGTTGGTGAAGGCCCACTGGTGGACGTTGCAACCCAGCAAATTCCACCTACTAGTTTTAATGCTCAGGTCTGTGATTATATTAATGAAGATGGAAATTTGAAGTGTGAAGGTACACCAAAACATTGGTGTACTAATATACATATGATTGTAGTGAACTAAGTCAATTAATTAAGAAAGAAAATAATATAATTTTTTATTTATTTAATTAATTAATTCTAAAGAATATGAACATCTGTATTTCAACGAGAAATGTAACTTTTTTTGAAGAATACAATTCCTCTAAAGGGTTTTTCATCTCTATATTCACCAAATTTCTTTTTGTCAAGATAATTCAATTTCATTCTCTCTCCCTAATTCATATTCTTCACATCATCTTGTGATCAATAGTTTAAGCGACATTGGTTTTTAATCATGTCAATTAGCCCATTATAAATATGGAAAGGACCACATCTTAGAACGTCACAAAAACCTATGGTCGTGAAAAAGCCACAAAAACCTCACGCTATAAATATGGAAAGGACCACATCTTAGAACGTCACCTTCAAAGCTTCAACAATGATAATGTCCGGCCAAACCGCTTATTTTGCTAGGTGGTCGCGGATCGTGTACGAACGCGATCGCCGTTGTCTGCCGCGTGGCCGGTGGTCCATCGCTTGGAAAATTTGCCACCATAAACATGTGGATTTGACGTTGTTTTATAGTGTGAACTGAACTACTGATTTGATTTATGCTGTTTTAACTTTATGGGATGTTCACTTTTGTTATAGGAGTTTTTGCTCGTTGCACTTTTGTTCTTAATGTTAGCACCATCAGTTAAATTTGTGAAATAAAACAATTCGCGATGATTTTTTTTTTAAACAAACGATATTATTTATCTAGATTATATTAAGAAGAAGGGATGTGGACTTAGCCTTATAATGGACTAACAATTATATGATTTAAATTTACATTTGACGAGCATTGAATATAAGACATCTCACTTACAAGTGAAGTGAAGAGGAACACTACCGGACAATGTTAGAATGATCAAATTTTTAAGTTAAATTTGTAAACTAATGATGTGACAGTTGATAATTGGATTATTAGTTAAGCGTTTATTAACGTACTAATTTATTATTTGTTACACATCATTTGGTTTAAAATTTTAATTTTCCTAATATTATCGTAAAAGAAATTTCAATTCAAATTTTTATTGGTCAATAATTCTGTTTTAACATGACTCTTCTAACTACACACAAAAAGAGATGAACAAAATAACCTTTATTTATTTATTTTTTTGTCGACTAACAAAATCCAAATGAACATTAACAAACACGTAGTATATAATAGGTATATCGTCACATAAAATAGAAAAGAAGGATATTAACCGGACATCAACCATTGCATTTGTTGGTGCTAAGTTACTAAGGCCATCTTCAACTGCAGGAGAGTTAGATGGCTTGTTTTAGTCCTATAGATCTCTAAAAAATTAATATTTTAATGAACAGTGACATGTTATATTTCTTACCGTCTCCAACCGATGGGTCATAGGCCAAACATAGCCTTGTGACAAAAAACCATTTCCAACCGAGGGGGCCAAAGGGTCATAGGGCCAAACATAATTTATTATTTTAATTTTAAAACTACAACAACTTAAATTTAAAAAATACAACCTAAATTTAAAAACTATAACTTGAATTTAAAAACTATAACTTGAATTTAAAAACTACAATAATTTAAATTTAAAGTCTATAATCAATCTTGGGAAAATGAAAAGCTAGAAAAAGAGCATCAAATTATCACAAGCCATTAACTTTCAACAAGAAATTAATTTCATGAAATTGAATACCACGACTATATATATATATATATATATATATATATATATTTATGGAATAGGATTAAAGGACAAATATTTTTACACTCTTTCTAAGCTTTTTGATTACATGACATCCAATGGTTCTTATTTATTCGTTAAATGACATGAATGCTTATGTGGATTTTAACTAATATTAAAGATAAAATAAAACTAAAAATAACATAAAATTTAGAAAATTAAAACTAGAATAAGAAAAGGAAGAAACCCTAGTTGTACGCAGTCCTCCATTTCCCCCTTTGCTAATGTGGTTTTGCAACTTCATGTCTATGTGTGTGCTTATACAATGTTAAGGGATTGCAAGGTTTTCCAAGCAGAGAATTTTCGAGCAGTACTAGTTGTGGGAATGGACAGAAGACCGGCAACCATCCAGGAATCCCTCATCAGGATTTCTCTTATGGCAGGTGAAATTCGAATAATTCTCAGCGTGCAAAAACAGCATGAACCTAACATGTACTATAGGACTGGTGGCATTGTGCCGCTCCAATATCTGATGCAAGATTATTTTGAACGTAAAAATCTTATGTTCGAAGTAATGCGTTTCACTTTCGATGGAAATAGGACCAGGGAAGATCAAACTCCCAAACAACGCAAAATTAAAACTAAAATTAAAAAAAGGAAGAAAATAGAGTTTATTCCTTTTTTAATTTTAATTTTCTAGATTTTATGTTTTTTTTTTTCAGTTTTATTTTATCTTTAATATTAGTTAAAATGGATATAAGTATTCATGTCATTTAATAAATAAAATAAGAACCAT